CCGAAACATACACATAACATATACACACTCGCGCTCTCTCACTCTCACTATACCCATTCCAAAACACACACATAACATACACACTCTTTTACTACCTATTCCAAAACATGCACATAACATATACACACTCGCGCTCTCTCTCTCACTATACCTATTCCAAGACACACACATAACATACACACTCTTTTACTACCTATTCCAAAACACACACATAGCATACACTCTCTCACTCCCTCTCTCTCTCGTCACACCACCGGTTCGTCGCTGACTCAGGGCATGCTGGCGTCTAAGCGCAAGCGTGGCATTGCCCGGTTTCCCATCAACGTGTGGGTGGATGTTATCAATGTGCGCTCGATCAGCAATCTAAGTCTCTCATTGGCCATCGCTTACAAGTAAGTAAGTCTCTCACTGGCCATCGCTTACAAGTAAGTAGTCTCTCACTGGCCATCGCTTACAAGTAAGTGCATTGCACGCAACGGTGGGGTTGTGTCACAATTGCATGAACGCCCGACTGCTTGAATGTGACCATTGAATTGTTTAAGCCGTACCAGTCACCATGGGAACGACTCGTGTCGTCAACCATTTCCTGTCGCCGTGCACGTCACCATGGCAACGAATTTGCCCAGTTAACCTTTACTTATCGCCGTGCCTGCTTTGATGCTCACAGACTGACTGGCACTGACGCTATTGCAATATGCCAATCCAATGCCGAGGCGGCGAAAGAACGAGGCTTTGTCGACAAAGAAGAGGTACTGGTATTACTGTGATGTATGTATATGAATCTGAGAGTGGTACCGAAGTGCTGCTCTATTCCTACATGCACCTGTTTAAGATGATGTACACGAGTTCATCCATGGGTATTGGTACCTTTACAACAACCACTATATGTGTATATGCACCTGTTTAAGATGATGTACACAGATTCATCCATGGGTATTGGGACCTTTACAACAATCACTCTAAGTGTATATGCACCTGTTTAAGATGATGTACAGAGATTCATCCATGGGTATTGGTACCTGTACAACAATCACTACATGTGTATATGCACATGTTTATTGATTGCTTTGCTGCACTGGGTACAGCACCATTTCGTTCCTGGGCCACTCTCGCATGTCTTAGCTTTCGTGACAGGCGTGCTGGTACAGTGTCTAGTGGGTGGGCTCGTGGCAACAGTGTATGTCATGGATGTATAGTGACATGAACCAGAGTGCCCTATTGCACTCTAGCATGCAGGTTCTTAGTGTCTAGTGGGTGGGCTCGTGGCAACAGTGTATGTCGTGGATGTATAGTGACATGGACCAATGTGCCCTATTGCACTCTAGCAGGCAGGTACTTAGTGTCTAGCGGATGGGCTCGTGGCAACGTGTATGTCGTGGATGTATAGTGACATGAACCAAAGTGCCCTATTGCACTCTAGCATACAGGTACTTAGTGTCTAGTGGGTGGGCTCGTGGCAACAGTGTATGCCGTGGATGTATAGTGACATGAACCAGAGTGCCCTATTGCACTCTAGCATGCAGGTACTTCGAACGCAGTGCGTGTGTGCTGTGTGTCGCTGTGCCAGTACTGCTATCGGGCCCATTGCTGTAGGGGTGGACACATGTCTCAGTGCCATCGCACCTCCTGTCCATTTCGTAGCCCGCAGGTGCCAATTGCACCTGATTGAGTGCCTTGGTTCGTGTTGCTATATCACTTCCTTTGATCTGCTTTGAAGTCCTCAGGCATTCTTTCAACGCATGTTTCTGACACGTTGGCTGACACGTGTTCGCACTGCATTCGGGTGCTGTGGTGTATAGGTGGCTGTCGCAAGCACACGCGCGGTGTCCCAATTTCTCTTGCGGGTGCATTTGTGACCTGTTTTTGCCCTGTCCGAAGCCCCATATTCGCTGTTGAACTTACACATATATGCGATTGATGGAACGCAAACATAAGCGCCATTGAACTCAGATACGTGTTACGTACAAAGACTCAGGTGTATGCCATATCTACTCGCACACAAGAGATATATGTACCGCACCCGATGTTACTCCCACACGTGTCCGCAATTCGTTGTCTTAAATTTTATGTCTGTAATTCATTGTACTAAATTTTATGTCCGTTATTCGTTGTACTAATTCCCCTGTCCGTGTTCCGTTGTGCTTAGATGTGGAAAGTAATGGGCATGGCCATTGCCACGGGAATGCAAACGGAGAAGTCAACCAAAATCATTCCCAGAAGTGCCGCTGCCGTATGGCGACAGCATCCACTGGGGTTGCCAATGGTCAAACGATGGTTAGTTTTCATGGCAACGTCTTTCACATGTGTATGCCAAGGTGCATTCAGTTGTTTACAGTTTAGTGTTAGAAGTATAGAATGCTGTGTCATTTACATTGGCAGGGGCTTCCAATAGTCCGAGCCATAGCGAGTTGTACTATCAACGCGTGCACCTCACATGTATGTAATTGTCCTGCGGAGGTCCACTAACATGTGTTGGTGACAAGCGCATATGCATGTGTACATAGTCCTAATGTATACTTCTTCTACTTTTTCGCAAACGAACATACCCGGTTACTTAGCACACATATCATTGACTGCTACACCATGCACGCATACTTACCTGTGTCTCGTTCACTTACTTCTCCTTTGAGCTATGTTCACATATCATTGACTGTTATCCCTTGCGCGCATACTTACCTGTGTCTCGTTCACTTACTTCTCCTTTGAGCTATGTTCACATATCATTGACTGTTATCCCTTGCACGCATACTTACTTTTGTCTCGTTCTCTTACTTCTCCTTTGGGCTATGTTCACATATCATTGACTGATATGCCATGCAGCCATACTTACTTGTGTCTCGTTCTCTTACTTCTCCTTTGGGCTATGTTCACTATCATTGACTGATATGCCATGCAGCCATACTTACTTGTGTCTCGTTCTCTTACTTCTCCTTTGAGCTATGTACACATATCATTGACTGTTATGCCAAGCAGCCATACTTACTTGTGTTTGTTCTCTTACATCTCCTTGCAGCTTGCAACACTTTGAGCTTGCGCGTGACGTGCAGTCTGTGGCGTCACTCATCGCGGTGTTTGAACTGGCGTTCGACAACAGCAATATCATGTCCGTGTCCTTCTCACAAACTGTAAGTTGTTATTCTTTTCACCAGTGTGACTACCTCGAAGTATCTGAGTTGGTCTAATTCATACTTCATATCGGGATTCGGTTTTCCGGTACACCCGCACGGTGGATGCTGTCGAGCTTTCGAGATCGCCTGTGATAAAAGCTTTCGCACATGTGTCAAAGGAGTAGCTTAGATCCACTCATAAACAAAGTGCCAAGTCCCATCTGTGTATGGAACACGCTCCAGAAAGTAGTAGCATGCGCTTAGCAGACCCATGGCGGCACGTTACTGATTTCGGAATATATATTGAAATCAGAGGTTTTTCTGTACGTCTCAGGAGTAGCTATTTCACAGATATATATATATATATATATTTCACAGATATGTGAGTGCACAATGGTTGGCAGTCAGTTTATAGCACTAATCGCAAGTTCTATAGCCAATGGATGCAGCTGCGCCTTCGGACCGTGTCACGGATCGTCACACAGCGAATGTGGTGAGCTAGTAACTACGCAAACCTTTCATATACAAAGATACAGTCATACATACATACATACATACATACAATACAATACAATGCAATACAACACATACATACATACATTCATACATACATACATACATACATACAGTACAATACAATACAATACATACATACATACATACATATACACACACAC